TTGGGACCGAGCGCATACGGCACAACACGGCACCGATCTTAGGGCACCGTAGGACACAACCCATAGGACGTTACCCATAGGGCATCAACCATACGGCTCCGTAGCGCACCAAGCACAGGACACCAAGTATCAGCCACAGGCCATTGGGCTCAACGGGATAGAACCCACGGCACCACAGCATAGGGCACGCTAAGGCATCATACGTGTGTGTAGATACCACCAACCGCAGGGCACATGCGATAGCCTACCGACCATATGGCATCAACCTCAGGGCACCGCTGCGGACATGCTACCCGCTGCTTGCAAGACACGTCAAACTCCTAGGTGCAACCGCTGTCTGGAGAATGCTGGCCTTGACTGTCCGTTGCCATTTCGGCTCGATCCCAACTACGACATCTCTCTTTTTTCCCCACATCCTGAGTGGGGTTCTTGTTTTCCCAGAACACCCTCTCCTTCTCCTCCTCCTCCCGCGTCCTTCTCCTAAACCATACCATACCAAGCCATACCATACCAATACCTTACCATACCAATACCATACCAAGCCATACCAAGCCATACCATATCAATACCATACCATACCATACCAATACCATACCAATCATACCATACCAAACCAATAACATCCCAAGCCATACCAAGCCATACCATACCAATACCATACCATACCAATACCATACCAAACCACGAACAGAACAGAACAGCAACCAAACCAATAACATCCCAAGCCATACCAAGCCATACCATACCAATACCATACCATACCAACCCCTCCAGGGAGGCCCCGCCTGAGCGAGGAGGGTATTCGCATCACCTGTTATTTCTCAGGTTTCGTGCCCCTCCCACCCCTCCAGGGAGGCCCCGCCTGAGCGAGGAGGGTATTCGCATCACCTGTTATTTATCAGGTTTCGTGCCCCTCCCACCCCTCCAGGGAGGCCCCGCCTGAGCGAGGAGGGTATTCGCATCACCTGTTATTTCTCAGGTTTCGTGCCCCTCCCACCCCTCCAGGGAGGCCCCGCCTGAGCGAGGAGGGTATTCGCATCACCTGTTATTTCTCAGGTTTCGTGCCCCTCCCACCCCTCCAGGGAGGCCCCGCCTGAGCGAGGAGGGTATTCGCATCACCTGTTATTTATCAGGTTTCGTCAGGTTTCGTGCCCCTCCCACCCCTCCAGGGAGGCCCCGCCTGAGCGAGGAGGGTATTCGCATCACCTGTTATTTATCAGGTTTCGTGCCCCTCCCACCCCTCCAGGGAGGCCCCGCCTGAGCGAGGAGGGTATTCGCATCACCTGTTATTTATCAGGTTTCGTGCCCCTCCCACCCCTCCAGGGAGGCCCCGCCTGAGCGAGGAGGGTATTCGGAATACCATGTTATTTACAGGTTTCGTGCCCCTCCCACCCCTCCAGGGAGGCCCCGCCTGAGCGAGGAGGGTATTCGCATCACCTGTTATTTACAGGTTTCGTGCCCCTCCCACCCCTCCAGGGAGGCCCCGCCTGAGCGAGGAGGGTATTCGCATCACCTGTTATTTATCAGGTTTCGTGCCCCTCCCACCCCTCCAGGGAGGCCCCGCCTGAGCGAGGAGGGTATTCGAATCACCTGTTATTTATCAGGTTTCGTGCCCCTCCCACCCCTCCAGGGAGGCCCCGCCTGAGCGAGGAGGGTATTCGCATCACCTGTTATTTCTCAGGTTTCGTGCCCCTCCCACCCCTCCAGGGAGGCCCCGCCTGAGCGAGGAGGGTATTCGCGAACAGTGCTATTTATCAGGTTCCGTGCCCGTCCCACCCCTCCAGGGAAGCCCCGCATGAGCGAGGAGGGTATTCGCAAACCATGTGATAGAAAAGGATGGAGAGGGCGAGGGCAGGTCGGCAATTTCTCTACAAAATGTTGCTTGATCCCGCTAGCCCAAAAACATCATTATGTGGGGAACTCCGTTAGCATAATTATTTTTTTACAGGTGCAGGCCTCGGTGGCGCCAGCTGGAGTGGGCCGCGGCAGGGCTGCCGCCACGTCTGACCGTCGAGCGCGCCTGGTTCCACCTCGGCTGTGCAATTGGCTCGGGGTAAGTGAGGAGGGACGGGGAGGAGGAGGTCCACTGGATGCCAAACGCGTGCGCGATCCTGGCGAATTCCATGGTGGGTGCCGCGCTGCGGGTGCCGACCGCGCGCGGTGGTGTTTCCTCTTGGGGCCCCGAGGCGTGCGAGGGGGTGTGCCAACCTGGGCGCGGCGGTGCCCTGCGAGCGCCGCCCCGGGGCCTCCGGGGGGATGCCTTAATGGGCCACGAGGCGTGCGAGGTGTTTGCCGAGGCGGGCGCGGTGGTGCCGTGCGAGCGCAGCCATTTTAGAGTCTCGGAGGCGCTCCCCACGGGGCCACCGAACATGTAAGGGGTGTGCCGAAACGGTCGCGGTGGCGCCATGCGAGCTCAGCCAGTGGGGCCTTTCGACGAGACCGTGGGAGGGGTGTGCCGACATGGGTGCGGTGGTGCCATGCGAGCGCAGCGTTCGGGGCCATCGGTGGTGCTCCCTATGTGGCCACGATGCGTGTGAGGGGTGTGCCGACATGGGTGCAGTGGTGCCGCGAGAGCAGAAACACGGGGGCCCTCGGTGGAGCTTTTCATTGGATTGCAGATCGTGTGAGTCGGTGGAGCTCCTTCTACGTGCGCAGTGGTGCCATGCGAGCGTAGTCATTGACTCTTCGGTTGGGTTCTCTATGGGGCCACGAAGCGTGTGAGGGATGTGCCGGAAAGGGTGCGGCGGTGCCATGCGAGCGCAGCCATTGGGACCTTTGGTGGGGCGCCGTGCGGGGCCACGAAAAGTGTGAAGGGTGTGCTGACACGGGTGCGGTGTTGCCATGCGAGCGCAGCCACGGATGCCCTCGGTGGAGTTCCCGATGGTGAGTTGTGTACCACAGTGGGCGCGGTGGTGCCATGCGAGCGCATCCATCGGTGCCTTCGGCGGAGCTCCTTATTGGGCCACGAAGCATGGCAGGGGTGTGCCGAACTTGGCGCGGTGGTGCCATGCGAGCGCAACCGTTGGTGCTCTCGGTGGAGCTCACTGTGGGGCCACCGACACATGTGAGGGGTGTGCCGAACTGGGAGTGGTGGTGCCCGGCGGGCGCAGGCACCGTGGCTTTCGTTGGAGCTCCCTGCGGCCACGGATCGTGTGATGGGAAGTGCCCAAGTGGGCGCGGTGGTGCCATGCGAGCGCAGCCGTTGGGGTCTTCCGTGGAGTTCCTGGGGGGCCACCGAACGTGTGAGGGGTGTGCCGAGATGTGCGCGGTGGTGCCATGCGAGCGTAGCCATTGTGTCCTTCGGTTGGGTTCCCTATCCGGCCACGAAGTATGTGAGGGGTGTGCCAGAATGGGTGTGGTGGCGCCGTGCGAGCGCAGCTGTTGGGACTCGGTGGCGCTCCCAATGTGGCCACGGAGCGTGTGATGGTGTGTCCCGAAGTGGGCGCGGTGGTGACATGCAAGCGCAATCATTGGGACCTTGGGCAGAGCTCCCTACGGGGCCACGAAACGTGTGAAGGGTGTGCCGCATCGGGCGAGAGCAGCCAGTGTGGCTTTCGGTGGAACTTAGGGGGGGGCACGAAGCGTGTGAGTTGTGTACCACCACGGTCTCGATGTTCCCATGCGAACGCAGCCATTGGTGCCCTCGGTGGTTTCTCAACGGGGCCACGAAACGTGTGAGGGGTTTGCCGGAACGGGTGCGGTGGTGCCGTGCAAACGCAACCAGTCTGGCCGTCGGCGGAGCTCTTTATTGGGCCCCGAAACGTGTTTAGCGGTGTGCCGAGTTGGGTGCGGTGGTGCCATGCGAGCGCAGCCATTGGATCCCTCGGTGGAGTTCCCAATGGGGCCACGCAGCGTGTGAGGGGTGTGCCGATCTGGGCGCGGTGGCGCCATGCGAGCGCAGCCATTGGAACCTTCGGTGGAGCTCCCGACGGGGCCACGAAACGTGTGAGGGGTGTGCCGATACGGGTGAGCGCAGCCATTGGAGTCTTCGGCGGGGTTCCTTCTGGAGCCACGAAGCGTGAGAGGGGTGTGCTGACATGGTCTGTTTGTGGGGAGGGCGGAGGCATGGATTTGAGGAGGGAGCAACGGGAGGATGAGGAGGAAGGGAGGGGAGAGGAGAGGAACGCTGGGCCCTGTATCTTCACACGAGGACCCAACACCACAGGATGATTCGGACACACTGCCAGAACGAATCTATCGTCGAGCGTGCGCATGGTTTCCGTCGAGCAGGGTGCCAGCAAGCCAACTTCCCTAAAATGAAGCACCCTTTTTTATGATTTAGTAAAGCGGTTTTGTATTTATATCCCAGGGAAGGGCCGAGGACCTAGGCCGCTTGAACATGTCCAGAATGACGCCCGCCTTCCAATCCGCGCCTGCGGGGGCATTCAGCTTATGGGAGAGGCTATCTTGGGGCCACATAGGTATCTTCATTGGTACCTTGGCGCGGCTTGGAACTTTTTGGGAGCATCTTTCTGGGCCTGCGTGCAGCTTTTTTTGTTTGTTTGTTTGTTTATGTTTCCCTCCTTTCATAATTATTCTCACACCCCGGGCCATCATGCAGGCGAAAGGCGCCTTATGTAGGCTTCGTGATACGACGGTTGTTCCCAACCCGAGGTTGGTACCCCAAGCAAAGGGACATGCGAAAGTACAAAACTCTTCGCTGCCAGAGGGCAGGACAATGTACATTGATGAGAAAATCAGGACCGCCGTCGCCTGTAGGGCTGATGGGATATTGCACGATGCGCGTGCGCTTTTCTGGGCTTGTTGCGGTAGCCACTCCAGGCGTCGTCGTGGCCCCCTTTTCCCTACCTACGGTCGCACCAGTGCATAAGATCGAGATCGGTTCGGGGAGGGTGCCCTGCTGTTGTCCGTGTTTTTTTGCATGTCCTTGTGCATCCCGGAGGAGGGTACCCTCGCAGGTTCCTCAGTCTGGCGGGCGGAGGCTCTCTTGCTCTTGAAGGATGGTCTTCTATCTTTGGCCCGCTTCTCTCCGCCCGCAGGTACCGCGCCGGCAAGAAGCACGGCGAGGGCAAGTTCACGTGGCCCGAGGGCTCCTCGTGCCTCTCCGCCGCCGCCCCCCGCCCCCCCCCCATTCTAGGCCTCCTCGTCGTCGTCCTCGTCCTCCTCGTCGTCGTCGTCCTCCTCGTCGTCGTCCTCGTTTTCGTCCTTGTCATCGTTATCGTCGTCGTCGTCCTCGTCGTCGTCCTCGGTCTCGTCCTCGTGCTCGTTCTTGTTGTCGTCCTCGTCGTCGTCCCGCTCACCTCTAGGCCTCCCTGATGTGGTCGGAGTAGATGGGGTCGGAGGATCGCGCCGCCTCGCCGATGCATCGGCGCTGCATCGGCGATGCGGCGCGACGTGGGGCCAAAGTCCTCCACGCCGACGTCGCGGATGCATCGTCGATGTCGCCGAGGCGTCGCCGGTGCATCGCCGATGCATCGCCGATGCATCGCCGATGCATCGGCGATGCGGCGGGATCCTCCGACCCCATCTACTCCGACCCCATCTAGGAGGCCTCTACCAATTCCGTCCGTGGCTGCGCCCACTGCGCCGCCAGGCTTTGCCAGGCCTGCCAGGCCCTGGCCCTCTCACTGCCCCACCCCTGCAGTCAGCGAGGGGGGGGGTCAGAGGGAGGAGGTCTTCCCAGAAGGCTGGAGAGCTTCTCCGAAGCCCTCCGGCCTTGCGAGGAGTTCTCTGTGTCTTCGGGGACTCCCCGAGCGCGCTCCATTGCCCGCAAAGTGCCTACTCGCAAGCGTCCAGAAACACGTTTGTTTGCTTCGATGCAATCTATCTCGTGAATCCCACGCGGCGGATCCAGGCCATGTGCAAGTAGTTCCTCTGCGGATAGCGGAACGCGCGTGCCTAGCGAAGGCATAGAACACTTCTCAGAAGGCCCGAGGACTTCCGAGCCTTCCGAGAAGGCGACGCCCCTGGGCGCGCCGCGGACTGCGTCCTCGCTGGTTGTAGCCAGCGCGGGCCCTGGCATCGCAGTGGTCGAGCGGTCTTCCTCCGCCTCACCCTCCTCATCCTGTTCCTCCTCCTGCTCCGGGTCCTCCTCACTCTCTCTCGTCCTTCTGGACTGCCGCTCCGTCGTCGAGCGCCTCACACTCTTCGGCGTGTGAGTGGGGCACCCTCACGTGGCCACCCCTTGTTTGCTCGAAGTTGCCCTTGCGACGCCGCCGGCCAAGGCTGCCTTCCTTTCCGTCCACCGCTGACCCCCTCTCTCCGCTGCCGATCCTCCCCCCTCTCGTCTCCAACTCTCGTCCCTTTCCCTTTCCCCCTCCCCCCCCTCGTGGGTCTCCGTTCCCTGCATCATCCGCCCTCCCTCTTCCAGTTCCCCCTCCGAGCCCGCCTTCTTTGCCCTCGCCCCGCTCCTCTCTCCCCCGGCCTCGCTCTATAAGTGGGGACGGCGGGATGCGGGCGGCGGGTGAAGGGAGAGGACGATGTCGAGGAGATGGATGACGAGGAGTTTTCACGATGACGAGGGAGAGGATGCCGATGACGAGGACAAGGATGGTGACGATGATGAGGAGAAGGATGACGATGACGAGGAGAAGGACGATGAGGAGGCCGAGGAGGCAGAAGGAGGCAGCAACGGAGGGGATGAGGAGGACGAGGAGCAGCAGCAGCAACAGCAGCAGCAGCTACCGCCGCCGCCGCAGCACCAGCAGCAGCAGCAGCAACAGCAGCAGAGGGGGGAGAACAGTACGTAATGGTAGCACGGTTAGAGATGAAGGGGGTGATGCGGGAAGATGCAACATGGGATGACGGGAGGAGGAGAGGAGGAGGAGGAAGATGTTGTTGTTGTTGTTGATGATGATGCTGATGATGACTATGTTGATGCTGATGGTGCTAATGCTTAAGCTGCTGCTGATGCTGCTGCTGGTGATGATGACGATGGCGATGACCATGACGACGATGATGATGATGCTGCTGATGATAATGATGATGCTGCTGATGATGGTGATGCTGCTGATGATGATGATTATGATGTTGTTGATGCTGCTGATGATGATGCTGATGATGATGCAGATGATGCTGATGATGCTGATGCTGATGCTGATGCTGCTGATGATGATATTCCTGATGCTGATGCTGATGCTGATGATGATGACGGTGATGCTGCTGGTGATGATGCTGATGATGTTGCTGCTGTTGATATGTACTGATGCTGATGCTGATGGTGCTGAAGGTGATGATGCTGATTACGATTATGTTGATGCTGATGACGCTGATTCTGATGATGATGATGATGATGATGATGCTGCTGCTGATGATGATGATGATGAGGATGATGCTGGTGATGATGATGCTGCTGGTGCTGATGACGATTATGTTGATTATGATGATGCTGACGATGATTGTGATGCTACTGGCGATGCTGATGCTGCTGATGATGATGATGCTGGTGATGATGCGGATGCTAATGCTGATGCTGATGCTGACGATGGTGATGATGCTGCTGCTGATGCTACTGATTCTGCTGATGATCCTTCTGCTGCTGATGCTGATGCTGATTCTTATGCTGATGCTGATGGCGTTGCTGATGATGATGCCGATGATGGTGATGACGATGCTGCTGATGAGGATGCTGATGATGACGATAGTGGTGATGACAATGCTGCTGATGATGCTGGTGACGATGCTGATGATGATGCTGATTCTGCTGATGATGAGGATGAGGCTGCTGATGCTTATGCTGTAGATGATGATAAGTATGCTGATGCTGATGCTGATGATGACGGCTGTGATGACATGATGGTGATTGTGATGATGCTGACGATGATGCTGCTGATGATGATGATGCTGATGCTGATCATGGCGATGCTGATGATTATGATGGTGGTGGTAGTGATGATGATGGTGATGATGCTGATGATGATGTTGCTGCTGATGCTGATGCTGATGATGCTGGTGATGCTGATGCTGATGCTGATGTTGATGCTGCTGATGCTGCTGCTGATGATGATGATGATGATGATGATGATGATGATGATGATGATGCTGATGCTGATGCTGAGGAGGAGGCGGAGGAGGAGGAGGAGGAGGAGAACGAGCAGGATGAGGAGAGGGAGGAGGAGGAGGAGGAGGAGGAGAAGGAGGAGGAGGAGGAGGAGGCGGAGGAGGAGGAGGAGGAGGAGGAGAACGAGCAGGATGAGGAGAGGGAGGAGGAGGAGGAGGAGGAGGAGGAGGAGGACGAGGAGGAGGAGGAGGAGGATGAGGACGAAGATGAGGACGAAGAGGAGGACGAGGACGAGGAAGGTGAGGTGAATCTGGGGGAGGCAGGATGTCACGGCGATGAAGACAATGAGGAGGCAAACGGGAGCGAGGAGGAGGCGGCGGCACAAGAATAAACGCGAGACCGAGAGACGGCTATTTGGCACGAGGGCAGCGGGGAGGAAGAGAGAGAGAGGGGGGAGCTCCTGCGTGCAGTCGTACAGTCGCGGCCCCACCGCCTCGGCAGGTACGAGGGCGAGTTCCAGAACAACGAGATCCACGGCAAGGGCATGTGCCCCGGCCCCGTCTGTTGCGCCGCGCCTTGCGCCGTCGTGCCCCTCTGCATCTTGCCCCCGTTCCCGCTTCACCTCCCTCCGAGCCTCCCAACCTCTGGCGCAACGGGTCCCACAGTGCGACACCCGGTGCTACGGCAAGGGAGCCGCCACACAGGCGACGCATTGCGGCTCAGGCGGTCGGGCTCGGCAGCCTGGCTTCGCGGAGGGGTCCAGACTTGCCTTGGGCTGCTTGACTTCCGCACTCAGGAGGGGAAAAAACACACATACACAATTATATTCGTCGATTCCCAGAACATATGCGAAAATATGGGAAGTGGGGGGGAAGACAGAAACCCAGAAAATATTGGAAAATATGGGACATCTTTTTATTTGTGTGTATTTATTTGTATGTCCTGGGGCCCCTTCAGCATTGTTTGCCGTACACCTTATGCACGCCTTCCTGAGCTAAGTAGCCCTGGCAGTACCCAGGGCCGCGCCACGAGCACGCCGGGCTCCCGTTGGCCCCAGCAGTACTTTGTGCCTTGTCGGTGCGAGCGCTCCTTGCGGCGTGATCTCCCGGGGAGCCGGCACGCAGCTTGGTGCAGCTGGTTCCGCCTTCGCCGCTGTTCTCCCCGGTGCTCCTCCCGCCCTTCCTCCCTCGGGGGCGGCCAAGAGGGGGGCGATGACTACGTAGGGGGGGGGATATCATGGCGGGGGCCGTGCTAGCCCCCCAGATTTCATGGCGCCTCTTCTCATTTCATTACGTCCCAGGCTTCCCCCCTGGTCCACGCACATGCCGCCGGCCATGATTTGCGCCCCCCCCTCTTGGACACCCCCCCCTCTTGGCCGCCCCCGACTCCCTCTCACCACCTTCCTCGCCCTCCCCTCCCCTTTTTTTCTTCTTCCGCGCCCCTCCTGCGTTGTCTCGTCTCCTCCCCTCCCATGCCCCCTCTCCCTTCTCTCTCTCTCTTCCTTCTTTCTCCATTCCTCCATTCGCCGCCGCCCCCCCTTCGGTTCCTCCCTGCTGCACTGCTGTCTCCTCGACACCCCTCCTCCCTTCCATGCTGAAATCATCAAATTGGTGACCCTTGCATTCTAGAGGTACTCGTGGAACGACGGCAGGGTCTTCAACGGCCAGTGGATGAAGAACAGGACTCACGGATCTGCGTACCAGCCAGTGTGGATGGAGGAAGGGGTAGGTGATAGGGGAGGTGGGGGGTGGTTGCAGAGAAAGGTGGATGGGGGATATGAGAGGGTTGATGCCGCGATTCAGAAGTTGCGTCCGCGTCTCCCGCCCTTCTCAGAAGCTAGTTGCCACTGGACACTGGACATTGCTCACTGTATTTTGGGCATCGGTCCTGCAACCTCGATCCGCAGAAACACTGCAGCGGCACGTCCTGCTGCTGCTTCTCTTCATCCTCCTTCCCCTCATCCTCCGTCCTCATCTGCCATCCGCCTCATATGTACACACGCGCGTACACACGCATTCCCTTCCAGAGTACGCACCAGGCTGCGGGATAGTGCCTGGGCTCCAGGTTCGTTTGGACACCCGTCGGCGGATAGAGGACCAATCGGCGCAGCGCGGGCAACTGGATGGGGGTGGGAGTGATGTGATGCCCATCACGTCGCGAGCGCGCCTGGCTTCGACTCTCTCCCTCTTCTCTTCTCCCCCTCTCCCGCTCCCCCTCCCCCTCCCTCCATGTCGCCTCGCTCCTCTTCCGACCCTCCGCGCCGTGCTTCCAGCTCCCCTCCCCTTGTTCCTGCGCCCACCCCGTCCCCGACCCTTCGCGCTCACGATCGCGCTCCTCCTGTACTTCTCCACCTTGACTCAAGATGAGTACCGCTCTCCTCTCTTCCCCGATGCTGCCCACGGGCCACCCGTCCCAGTCTCATTTTCTATGCGGAGGATCTCGGACGTGTGTTGCCACCTTCTGCTGCTCGCAGGGAATCGGGCATCTTGCCTTCCTTGTATCTTCTGCCCGACCAGACCGCCCTCGGCGTGGGGATCTCCTGTGGGCCGCTCCGCTCGGATACCCTGCAGCGGTTTGGCCTCTCGCCGCCTCGAAGAGGCGCTCTCGCCGCCTCGCCCGTCGGGCTCCTGCCACCGCCTGCCGTCCTGCGTGCTCGGGGGTTGACAGGAGCCCCCACCCTGGCACGCTGATCCGCGAATGGTCCGTTTTCGGTCCTCGAGCGGGCGCCGCGGCCGCCGTCTCCCAGTCTTGCGCCCGCCAGGTTTGGGCCCGAGGCCGTTTTCACCAAGCCACGTTTTCCCCGAGGGGGCTCCGTCCACTCCCTCACCGCCCACCAACCCACCCCAACCCAACCCGAAGGCCCCGATTTGCCATCCATTTCTAGTGGGGAAGGGGGATCGGGGAACATTGAGACAACCCATATGGAACCCTTACCCCCCCCAACCCGAAATTCGGGTCTTCGGGTTGGGTTGGGGTGGTCTGGTGGGTAGTCATTCCCGGGGTGCGGTGTCCGGTGCGGCGGCCTTTCTTTCCCGTGGGGGTGCCGCTGTGCCGCCGCCTCCCGAGAGGGCGCCCGCGCACCCCCGTGCGCCTCTGGGGGCTGCCGGGGCCCCCTGCGGCGCATCGGCGTGGCGGCGGGCAGCGGGCCACGGGGCAGGGGAGACTCAGGAGGGAAAAAACACACACACAGACACAATTGATCGTCGATCCCCCAGAGAATATGGGAAAATATGGGAAGTGGGGGGAAGACAAAAACCCAGAAAATATATGAAAATATGGGGAATCTGTTTATTTGTGTCTATTTATTTGTGTGTCCCAGGGCCCCTTCAGAGACGGGCGAGCCGCATGGCGGGGCGGCGAAGCAGGGCTGCTCCCTGGGGCCCGGGCGCACGCCCGTCGCCGCCATCTGGGCGCACCGCCGCTGGTGCCCATGTCCGCCGCGCGCAGGATGTCTGGCGAGGGCGTGTTCACCTGGAAGGACGGCAGGAGGTGCGCGCAAGCGGCCGCTCGCCTCGCGGTCGAGGTGGGCGGGAGGCGGCGGGAGGAGGAGGAGGAGGAGGAGGAGGAGGAGGAGGAGGAGGAGGAGGAGGGAGATCACAATGTAGAGGCGTTGGATCAGGCGGATGAGGAAAGGAGCGGGAGGAGGACGGGGGGGGAGATGGGATAACGGATGATGATGTCTTGGCTCCAGTTACCTTGGTCCAGGGCAGGCTGGACTACAGGCAAACCATGCGCACGATCACCAGCTCAGAGAGGAACCCAGAGACAGTCGGAATGCACCTGCGCCCGACATCTTGACACTTAGATCTACATGCACCACGTGGCGAGCACCTGCTGGCGCGCGGACGGCCTCTGCTGCTCTTTGGGGGGCCCTGCGCTGCGCATGCGGCAGTGTGGCAGACCTCGCAGGGCCGTCTGCGAGCCGCCCCCGCGCAGCTCCCCGACTGCGGTTGGCTCCGCGCCGGGCGTCGGCGAGCGCGCGTGATGCCCGCGTTTTTTGCCAGGCGAAAACAGCCTCTCCCCATGGGCACCGCGGGCAGGGCGCTGCAGAGGAGCGCCGCGAAGCACTCGGCCGGCTCGGCCGTGCCTGCCGGGGGCCGGGGGGGCGCCGAGTACCGGCCTGTCCTTCTGCGTCTGGGCTCGTTTACCACGTTTTCCACCACCACCACCACAAGTTGGAGGGGGGAAGGAGGAGGAGGAGGAGGAGGAGGAGGAGGAGGAGGAGGACACCCTTCCCCTCCAACTGATGGTGGTGGTGGTGAAAGACAGGCCCATCACTCCAAGAGGCGCATCCGCTCTGGGTGGGCTTCCTCGTTCCTGGCTGTGGATGTGCGGTCCAACTTCTTGACCAGCGCGTAGGCGCCCCGCCCGCTTTGCTCGCCGAAAGCATAGCATGTCTCGAAGGGCACCACGGGCAGGCCGCCTCAGAGGAGCACCGTGAAGCCGCGAAGCCCATGGGGGCCTCGGGGATCAGGTCCTGTAGCCCTCCTCGAAATCAAGCGCAAGGCTTGATCCGACCACCTCGCCCGCGAATTTCAAGGTTGATGGACGCGTGCAGCGCGGTCCGCGCGGTCAACCAAACAAATGCAGTCGCCAGTGTCGGCGTCAACATTGAACTTGTCCAGGCCTCCTAAATGGGCTCCGGGTAGATGGGGTTGGAGGATTGCGCCGCATCGCCGATGCATCGGTGACGCGGCTCGATGTGGTGCCCGTGTTTCTCCACGCCGACACATCGCCGACGCCTCGCCGATGCACCGCCGATGCATCTTGTATCAGCGATGCGGCGCGATCCTCCGACCCCATCTGCTCGGACTTCATCAAGGAGGCCTCTAAGTCGCCAGCTTCGGCATCAACATCGAGATTGTCTGGGCCTCCTAGATGGGATCCGAGTAGATGTGGGCCTCTCGTCCTCATCCTCCTCCTTTTCCTCCTCCTCCATCTTCTCCCCCATCTCCTCCTCCTCCTCCTCCTCCTCCTCCTCCATCCTCCATCCTCCATCCTCCATCCTCCATCCTCCATCCTCCATCCTCCATCCTCCATCCTCCATCCTCCATCCTCCATCCTCCTCCTCCATCCTCCTCCTCCTCCTCCATCCTCTCTCCATCTCCTCCTCCTCCTGCTCCTCCTCCTCCTCCTCCTCCTCCTCCTCCTCCTCCTCCTCCTCCTCCTCACTCCTCACTCCTCCGCCTCCTCCTCCTTCGAGGATGCCTCCAAATCTTTGGGCCCGGGGGCGGGAGCGGGAGCCGGTCTTGCTTTCTTTGTGCCTGCGCGCGCGAGGCTGGAAGGGGAGGCGCTGCGCGCGCAGGGCGCGCGGGGCGGGCTCGCGGGGAGGGCGCGCCAGGGCCCGAGGCGGGGGTTTCTTCATAGCCGCCGCTTGGAGGACCCATCTTCGGGGACCTCGGCAGGCGGTGGGCGTGGATGTCGGCCCCCTTGGGGCCAACTTTCCTCGGCATCATCCACCTTTTCCTCCTCCTCCTCCTCCTCCTCCTCCTCCTCCTCCTCCTCCTCCTCCTCCTCCGCTTCTTCCTCCTCCATCTTCTCCTCAACCTCCCCTCCTCCTCCATCTCCTCCTCCATCTCCTCCTCCTCCTCGATCTCTCCTCCTCCTCCTCCTCCTCCTCCTCCTCCTCCTCCTCCACCTCCTCCTCCTCCTCCTCCTCCTCCTCCTCCTCCTCCTCCTCCTCCTCCTCCTCCTCCATTCTCCATCTCCTCGGATGTCGGGCCCCCTTGGGGCCAACTCTCCTCGGCAGCGTCCACGCGATGCGGCTCCCGAGACGGCGGGTCTGGATTCCTCCCCGCCTCCCGGGGGGGAGCGGGGGGGCGGGGCGGGGGCTGCGCGGGCGCGAACGGGGGCGCAGCACTCCCTCGATGCTCGCCCCTCTGCCCTCCTCGCTCTCGTCCACTCTTCCCCCCTCTTCCCCCTCTTCGCCCCTCGTCGCTCTCATCCCCGCTTCCCTCTTCGCTCTCATCCCTCGACGGTCGCCCCTCTTCCCTCTTCCCTCGACGTTCGCCCCTCTTCCCTCTCGCGGGGGGGGGGGGGGGGGCGCGCCCTGCTGCTGCTATTGCTGCTGCTGGAGCTGCGGCTGGCCCCGCAGTGTGGCAATCCCGGGCGCAGGGCCAGCGAACTGGCCAGCAGTCGCTAACAACTGGCCAGCCAATTGGCCATCGGCGCAGATGACTGGCCAGCCAGCTGGCCAGCAGCTTTCTGCGCCGATTCTCGAGTTGGCGCTGCCTGGTGGCGAGCCGTTTCCTGAAAGCTGCCGCCTGAACCTCGGCAGACTCGCAGCCTGCGGAGCGTGCGACTCCGTGAGTTTGTTCGCCCATGTCGCCCAGACGTACTCGGCCTGTGCGCGTGTCGTCTCCACAGGGGCCTTGGCATCGCTCGGACGTGTGCATTTTTCCTTCGGCGAGGACCATCGAGGAGCATCCTTGACCATTTGGCGAAAAAGCCACAGGGAATGGACGTCCGAGCGATGGCCAGATGCGCGTGTCGTCTCCAAAGGGGCGCGCGCGCGCGCGCCGAACTCGTACAGAGCAGCCTCGGCGGCGTGCGCTTGCTGGCCACACCGCCTGGGCAGAGGGTGCTCCTACGGCATGCCGGGAGCGGCCGCGTGCCCTCGCGAGGGGTGGCATGTGCCCCCCCCCCCTGCGTCCCGCGGTCGGGTCCTCCAAGAGGCGCGCCCGCTCCGGAGGTGGACTTCCCTCGGTTCCGGTTCGCCCTCCGGGGCCCCGCCCGCCGCGTTCTCGGGGCCGTTGTGGGCTCTCTCTCTCGGGGGCCTCTTGGGCCGTCGGGGCGCCCCCCTCGACGGCCTCGCAGGCCGTCATTGGGCGATTGTGCTGGGCCCTTCGAGCCGTCTTGGAGCGCTGGGCAGCCGAGAAGGCAGGAGCGCCACGCTCTGTCCAAAGCCGACGGGACTCCGTCACAGGTTGCCTCTCGGGGCCCTCTGTTGGTGGCTTTCGATGCGTGGTCCAGCCTCTTTGACCACCGCGCAGGCGCGCCGCCTGCACCGACGGAGCCCGTCCTTTGGAGTCAGACTGCGCCAGCGCTGCGGCCAGATGCCGCCAGAAGATGCCTCGGGAGTGGCAGGCGGCCGCCGCGCCCCGCCGCTGAGAAGGTGCGAAGGCGGCGCAAAGCTCGAGCGCGACGTTGCTCGAGCCAACTGGCCGAGGAGGAGGAGGAGGAGGAGGAGGAGGAGGGGCAGGAGGAGGAGGAGGAGGAGGAGGAGGAGGAGAAGGGGGAGGAGGGGGAGGAGGCGGAGGAGGAGGGGCAGGAGGAGAAGGAGGAGATGAGGAGGAGGAGGAGGAGGAGGAGGAGGAGGAGGAGGAGATGGAGGATGGAGGATGGAGGATGGAGGAGGAAGAGGCGTGAGGAGGAGAGAGAATGAAGGATGGAGGTGGGCTGCTGGTTGACCATGCCTCCAGCACGCAAATCTGGTGTGTGACATGTGCGGCTGAAGCAGTATCCAACATGCTGCTCTGCACCGCTCTCCCAGTGCTCGCCCCGTCTCGCTCCACGAAGAAGGTGGGCGAGGAAGAGTGAGGAACGCATGAATGAGGGGGACGAGGAGACGACGAGGGGGGGGGGGGGGAGAATTGGGGGGGGGGAGAATGGGGTGCAGGAAGCGGCGAAGCTGATCATAACGTTGAAGCAAGGGCCGCCCTGGGCTCAGGAGGGGCTCGCGTGTCCCGGCCGTGCTCCCCTTGGAGTATTGTTTGGGTTTTTTCGTCGAACATCTCCCTGTAGGGGGACACGCCCGACACACACACACACACACACACACACGCCCGACACACACACACACACACACACATACATACACATACATACATACATACATACATACATACATACATACATACATACATACATACATACATACATACATACATACATACATACATACATACATACATACATACACACATACATACATACATACATACATACATACATACATACATACATAGGTCGGGGAGCCCGGCCGCGGCCGGGGCTCGCCGCAGCCCCAGAAGCGCACCCTCGTACCCGTAAGTCGGGCGTGTCCCTCTACAGTTGCAACATAGTCGAGGGACGAATGTTTGAGTTGTTTGGATTATTTAATCGCTTCGCTCATTCCGCCAGGTCTGGAGCGCTATTTGGGGCCTCTTGGGGCCGTCTTGGGGGCTTCTTGGGGGCTTCTTGGGAGCGTCTTGGGGCTCCTTGGCGGCGTATTGGGCTCCCCTGGGGCCTCTTTGGGGGCTCTTGGGGGCCCCTTGAGGCGGAAAATAGTCGAGGGACGAACGTTTGAGTATTTTGGATTCTTTCTTGTATACGTTTTGACTCTCCTTTTTGTTCGCCCAGAATCCGCTTGTGCGTGGGCGTGCCCGACCTAATCGTACCCTCTTCAGCGTTCCTCGCAGTCGAACCGATGCATACGATCGGGGTCGGTTCGGAGAGGGTGCCCTTGGTAAATCTTCAGTTTGGGTTCCGCCCCCTTTTCTCTCAGCGGTGGATCGGACTGGTCCTACCGCCACCTCCTCCTCCTCCTCCTCCTCCTCCTCCTCCTCCCAGAGCCACCACTACTACTAGTCGGCGTCGTTGTTGCGCGGCGGGTGCCGCGGGGAACAACACACACAGTTCCCCTTCCTGGTGGGCCACCAGTCCGTGAATAAGGCCGCCGAACAATTAAGTGGTGACTCCCTTATGGGGGAAGTTTCTAAACATTCTAAACGCTTCGTGTATCCCCACCAGCCCGTCCAGCAATGAGTCCCAGGGGAGTGGAGGTGAGGGAAGCGGGGGAGCATGCAGAAGAACAAAGGGCGGGGTAAGCCGCCATATACCCCAAGAGGGGGAGGATGTAGGAGGAGTCGTTGTCGTCGGAGTAGGAGGAGGAAGAGGAGGAGCAGGGGGAGGAGCAGAAGGATGAGGAGGGGGAGGAGGAGGAGGCGGAGGAGGAGGAGGAGGGGGAGGAGGAGGAGGAGGAGGAGGAGGAGGAGGAGGGGGAAGATGCGGAGGAGTAGATGGAGGAGGGCGAGGACGTGGAGGACGAGAGAAGAGGAGAAGGAGAAGAAGGAGGAGGAGGAAGAGGAGAGGGAGGGGGAGGAGGGAGGATGAAGAACAAGAGGAGGAGGAGGAGGACAATGGCGAGCTTGGGGGCCTCTTGGGCCGTCTTTGGGGCTCTTGGCGGTCCTGGGGGCCTCTTGTGTATCTCGGGGGGCCTCTTGGGGCCTCTTGGGGGTCTCATGGGAGCCTCTCGGAGGCCTCTTGGGCGCCTCTTGGGGCCTCTTGGGGCCCTCTTAGGGCTCTCTTGGGGCGCTCTTTGGAGCCTTCGGGGCGCTCTTGGGGCCATGTTGGAGGAGATCTATCAACGAAGGGGGGGGTGAATTAGCGTTGCCCCTCTAGAGTGCCTCTTGGGCCCCAAAAGAGGCCACCATCCTTCCAAAACCAAGGGAAATCAATGTTTTTTTGCTTTCCCGCCTTTTCGCTCTTGGAGCCGTCTTGGGCCATCTTGGACGCCCCAACGACCCGCGGAACCCTCCGTCCAGGTCCAGGGGAGGGGGGAGTGGGAGGGGTCAACCCCTCCCCGCCGAAGGGGAAGAAGGGGATTGGAAGAGGAAACTCTCTAGACCACCGACGCCCAGAGGGCTGGTGGGACTGACCGCGGTTACCCTTGTGCCCTTCGTGTTTGTTAGGTGTTCGTGTGCATCCTGCGGAGGACACCCTTAGGTGTTCTCTGCGTGTTTTGGCTGGCGGAGGGTCTCAGGTTTTTGAAGCATGCTCGTGTGTCCTAGGTCCGACTGTGTTGCAGCTTGATGGATGTAGAATACATGCAGACGATGGTATACGAGAGCATATGGATGAAGGTTCATGGTTCCATGTGGGCAAGTCCAGGGCACGCTGACGATTGTGTAATTAGCAGGAAGCATCGTGGACATGGTCGGCCACGCGGGATCATTCCGATGGTTTCTGTGCGCTTCGCTCTCCATTCGTGCTAACCTTCAGATACACTGGAGCTTACTTCAACGACAAGAAGGATTTTCACCGTTTGGCCTTGTGTATCGCCTTGCATCGTCAGCAGTTTGTAGAGAGTTTGATCATTCTGTCAGCGGCGTGTGGTGTCAACGAGCCCTGAGCTAGGATACTGAGCATGTGCAGGGTAGAATCACGACTGGTTCCTCTCATATGACGCTTGTCTTGTTCTCTCTCTCTCTCTTTCTATATGTTTCTCCCTCTCCTCCATGCCCCTCTGTCCCTCTCCTATGTTACTCCCGCTGCTACTATTACTCACTCTCGTCTCTCTATCTCTCTCGTTTTCTTTATGTCTCTACCTCATCTTTGTATATTTCAGTGTCATCGCAGCTGCACATGTTGCGGTCCATCTGTGAGGTGGCGGAAGACGGGTAATTGATTTAGATTTGTCACCACAGCAGAATAACGAGCCAACCTAACGAGTCGAGCTTGACAGTCATCACCGTTGTACTTGTACGCCTTGGTGTCCGCTGTCTGATTTCCGCAGTGCTGTTGCACGCAGCCAATCTTACTTCACATGATTCGGGAACTCTGCGGGATGGTTCGCAAGGAGCGTGCGGGGTGGACTCGCACTTCGGTCTCATGTAGGGCTTCGTTTGTGCTCTCCATGCGTGTCGGTTGGCGATTCACACAGCGTTCAGGGCTGGAGTCAGGAGGGGAACACATACACAAACACAACGAATCGTCGACTCTCAGGAAATATGGGGAAATATGGGAAGTGTAGGGGGGGGAAGACGAACACCCTGGAAATGTAGGAAAACATGGCAATCCGTGGTGTGTGTGTGTGTGTATTAGTTTGCGTGACCCAGGGCGCCTTTTCGGAGGGAGGACGCAGCTGAAGCGGACTGGGGCGATTTTGCCTTCGTTGATATCGCTTCAGGCCTTTGTCTTCTCAGACCCACCGACGATCACCACAGTACCATGCGACCAGCGCGGGGCCGAGGCCGACCAGGAGGAGGAGGGGGAGGAGGAGGAGGAGGAGGAGGAGGAGGAGGAGGAGGAGGAGGACGAGGAGGAGGAGGAGTGAGGAGTGAGGAGAGGAGGAGGAGGAGGGAGAGAGGAGGAGAGGAGGAGGAGGAGGAGAGGAGGAGGGAAGAGTGAGGAGGAGAGGAAACGGAGGAGGAGGAGGTACCCACCGCGGACACATGCAGACTCCAGGGGCCGCGCCACGGCTGCTCGCCTTCCGGGAGAGGCAAGACGTGGACAGGGGCCAGCCGCAGGCGCATATCTTACGAGGCGTCGCCACCCCAGACGTCGCGGAGGAGGAGGAGAGGAGGAGAGGAGGAGGAACACGAGGAGAGGAGAGGAGAGGAGGAGGAAAAACGAGGAAAGGAGGAGGACAACGAGGAGTAGAGGACAACGAGGAGGAGAGGAGGAAGGAGGAGGAGAGGTACCCCACCGCGGACGACCTGCTGACTCTATATCCAGGGGCCGCGCCACGGCTGCTTCGCCTCCGGGAGAGGGCAAGACGTGGACAGGGCTGGCCGCAGGCGCATCTCGTACGAGGGCGTTCGCCACCCCAACGTTCCCGAGGAGGAGGAGGAGAGGAGGAGGAGGAGGAGAGGACACGAGGGGGAGGAGGAGAAAACGAGAGAGGAGGAGGAGGAGGAAACAACGAGGCGGAGAGGAAGAGGAGGAGGGAGGAAAAGGAGGAGGAGGAGGAGGAGGAAAACAACGAGGAGGAGGAGGAGAAGGGAGGAGGAGAGGAGGAGGAGGAGAAGTAGTGATGGAGGAGGAGGAGGAGGAGAGAGGAGGAGAGCAGGAGAAGACGAGGAGGAGGAGGAGGAGGAGGAGGAGGAGGTACCCACCGCGGACATATGAAGACTCCAGGGGCCGCGCCATGGCTGCTCGGCTTCTTGGAGAGTCCAAACGTGGACAGGGGCCAGCCGCAGGCGCATATTTTTCGAGGCGTCGTCACCCCAGTCATCCGGGGAGGAGGAGGAGGAGCAGGAGGAGGAGGAGGAGGAGGAGGAGGAGAGGGAGAAGGAGGAGAACACAGGAGGAGGAGAGGGAGGAAGGTAGGAGGAGAGGAGGAAGGAGAGAGGAGGAGAGGAGAGAAGCAGGAGAGAGGAGGGAGAGAGGGAGGAGGGAAGAGAGAGAGAGGAAAAAGGAGAGGGAGGAGGTAACCCACCGCGGACACATGCAGACTCCAGGGGCCGCGCCACGCTGCTCCGCCTTCCGGAGAGGCAAACGGGACAGGGGCAGCCGCGGGCGCATATCTACGAGGCGTCGCATACCCAACGATCCGCGGAGGAGAGGAGGAGGAGAGAACACGAGGGAGGAGGAGGAAGGTAGAGAGAAGGAGAGAGGAGGAGGAGGAAAACGAGGAAGAAGGAAGGAGGACAGACGAGGAGTAGGAAGGACAACGAGGAAGGAGAGGAGGAGGAGGAGGTACCCACCGCGGACACATGCAGACTCCAGGGGCCGCGCCACGGCTGCTCGGCTTCCGGGAGAGGCAAGACGTGGACAGGGGCTGGCCGCAGGCGCATCTCTTACGAGGCGTCGCCACCCCAGACGTCCGCGGAGGAGGAGGAGGAGGAGGGAGGAGGAGGAGGAACACGAGGAGGAGGAGGACGAGGAGGAAGGAGGAGGAGGAGGAACACGAGAAGGAGGAGGGAGGGAGGAGGAGGAGGAGGGAGGAGGCGGAGGAGGAGGAGGAGGACGAGAGGAGGAGGAGGAGAGGACAACGAGGAGGAAAACGAGGAGGATGAGCACAACGAGGAGGAGGAGGAGGTGGAGGGGGAGTAGGAGGAGGAGGATGAGGAGGAGGAGGAGGAGGAGGAGGAGGAGGAGGAGGAGGAGGAGGAGGAGGAGGAGGAGGAGTGAGGAGGTACCCACCGCGGACACATGCAGACTCCAGGGGCCGCGCCACGGCTGCTCGGCTTCCGGGAGTGTCAGAGCATGGACAGGGGCCGGCCGCAGTCGCATCTCTTACGAGGCGTCGCCACCCCAGACGTCCGTGGAGGATGAGGGGGAGGAGGAGGAGAAGGAGGAGGAGGAGGAGGAGGAGGACGAGGAGGAGGAGGAGGCGAATGAGAATGAGAATGTCGGTTCACTAAGTGAAGGAAAAGGGAGCCCTTAAGCCGAGGGGGTGGGGTGGCTCAATTCTGTAGAGCGCCTCGCCTTCTCAGCCTTGGAAAAGGACTTGGGCCACAGACCTAGGCGGTTGGATTTCAAATATCCCTCCCCTGTCGGCGTGTCTCGGTCACAATCCTTGCGTAACTTGATGTTCTGACGACTAGCAAAAGCCCCACAGGTCCCACAGAACCAGAGGCCCAATTTGGTATTGAGGTTCATGGTATGGGATTCGTGCACCCAGTCCCCAGCCACGTGCAGCCTGTGCCCAAAAGGAATGGTGTGGAAATCCCCATTGATATTCAGGGGCTCGAAACACGGGGTCTTCTTCCAGGTCTCGAGGCGATCCTTGGAGGCCGACCCCAAACATCGCTTGCACTTCCGCCCACTGTCGTCCAACTGGTGCGACGTGGCGAACAAGGTGACAGTGCTAGGTGCAGGCGGCACAGGCACAGGGGGAGGGGGAGGAGGGGGAGGAGGGGAGCCCTCACTTTCCTGACTCCTCCGCCTCGCGATCTCCTTCTCCGACTGGATGCTCTGGAGGCCTGCGAGCAGCAGGCGGTGCCTGACAAGAAACGCTTTCCTCTCGATCTCGAGAATCTGGTGCCTCACACTGGACGGTACTCGCAGCTCCTCGGCCTTCGCGCCAACGATTTCGTCGATGATACTGTTCCCTATAACCTTCCATCTTCGCTCACGGTTGCTCACGATCGCCTCACCGTCGAGATGAGAGTGAACTAACGCAACCTGGATGTCGTTCTGATTCCGAGAAGCCAGCAACATCTTAATACAAGCCCATATGTCTGCATCGGCCCCGCTGGGGGGCCGATACTTCCTAGACATCCACCCAAGAAACATTAGCTCGCAATCTTTCACTTACCGAAGGGGGCCAGTGCAGCACCACAGCGCAAGCCAGAAAGCTTTGAGTTCACCTCGGGATACCGACTGTCGTAGCCCCGCCAACCCACCTGTCACAAACGAGGCTACAGGCGGGGGGTCGAAAGTCATCAATATGCACACACCCAATGCTACCCGTCTCAACCGAGGGTCTGCTGTATCTGCTCCCCCACTGGAATCACCAAATATAATCACCTCAGATCTATCTGGATTGGGAGGTATGCAGCCTGGTCCCACAGTTCGGCTCAAACCGAACGGCTCCCAGTCATCAGACAGAATTGGCAACGGTGTGGCTGTCCACCCGCGTGGTACCATGCCACGTCGCCAGAAGCACGCATGGGGTTCGCACTGGGACGTAGCCGAGGGAACAAGATCGCTGCTGGCCTCGAATATCGGGGATCCTGTGGTGCACGAGCACAACTACGAAAGATGTAGCGAGTCCTCCACCGCTTCATGGCAACGAGGGCACTGCAAGGTGAGATCCACATGGGTACTGTCTGGCCTCGCACGACCAGCCTTCAGGAGACCTTGCCTCGCTCTCGTCCACATGCTCCCGATGGAGATGGTGAGGAGAAGCCCAGCGAGCCGAGGGCCTTCTGGGTGAACTGAACTCAGCTGATCTAGCAGGCGTCTGAGAGAGAACACATCAGCACCGTCCTGCAGGCCCTCACCATCGAAATGACCAGAGGCAGCGCGCCAATGAGGAGCCATATATGCCGTATCCACATCCAGTAGGAATTCTCAAAGGCATGTAGGAAACGATTGCCAGTGAACCCTTCATCGGGGAAAGACCAGGTGTGACCTGATATGGGTAAATGCCAATCAGTAGGCCCACGCGGAACCCACCCACAGGATATCATATATGTAAGAGTAGCTGACAATGGACCACGCGCGTGCCTTGACCTCCGTGAGGGGTCCATGGCACTGAGCTTGGCATAAACACGACTCCACGCCCGCTTCGCTGCTGGCCTGATCTGAGGACAATCACGCCACTGCTGGAGCCAAAGAGCAAGGGTGCCTCGAGCAAAACGC